ATGCACACCCATGCACACAATGTTAGAGATTATTCCATTATTGATTTGTTGAAGGGAATTTTTAATGGTTTAAGCCACACAGTAGCTTGTAATTTAAAGATGAAAGCTTCATCTCTTGTATGAAGAACAGTTCTGCAGGACTAGTTTTGTCAGTGATAGACAGCAAATGTCATCGCCACCTGAATTTTAACCATTCTGCTGCTTTAAGTAAAGTGTCGTAATAGCTCATTAGTAGCAAGTGCAGATTCTTCCCTGCCTAAAGAGAAGCAGAATACTTCTGGTAGCCCTCCTGAATATCTGTGTCCTTACAAAGACGAATCTCCATAATGTCCAAGCATTTGAAAGAAGATAACTGAATTCTGCAAATTGCTAAGGGAAAAGTAGCACAGAGGTATTATATAGGCTCTAGTTTCTCTGTTAATATTGCACCTAGATTTCAATTACTGACACACCTCTAGGAGTTCCCAGACATCCAAATTTCACCAACATTCAATTCAAATATACTTCTTCTTGACAGCTCCTACTATGAAGGATATTTGTTCCTGTTTAGTAAAGTTCTTCATGGTCCTATATAGCATATTAGTCTGATACAACCCTTATTTACTTGATATGAAATGTCTGAAAGTCAATCTATTGTTTTCTTCAAAATGTTGTTTAATTTTTTTAAAGGTTCTTACTAAGCCCAAAGTTTTCCATTATTATTTTTATCAGATATCATCTCCTTTCATTTCTGTTGCTCCAGTAGCTCCTTCAGTCCCACTCTATGAACCTCATAGACAGATACATGGAGGAAATGCAGCACCTCGCAGAGAAGGGGTGGTCTTGGCACTGTTCCCATAGTCATCCTTCATGACATCCATTCATGTCTACTCTGAGTTCATCCCAGAGGATTCTTTATGCGCTCTTTCTTTCACTGGGACTGTTTAGAGGCAGTTGCAGGTTGGTGTTGTGAGTCACCCATGGCCTGATCTGCACACTATGACAAATATTGGACCAGTTCTGATGTTTGGCAGGAGGTGACTTATTTGTATCCATTGTCCACTTACTCGCTATGTCTCATTCTCATTAACTCAGTGCGTCCCTATTATATTGCCATAATACCACTGGTTTCTGAATGTCCTGGACCAGCTGAAAAGTTTTAATTGTAAAATGATCCTTCAGATGCAAAATAATCTGCATTTCTGCCAGAGACAGCATTAAAACCAGCATTTAATGTCCTTCTCAGTCCTCCTGGAGACCATATAGCATGGTCTGACTGACTCTAAACAGTCTGCTGACTACCGTTTGGGAACAGCTACTTCAGATGTACCTTTCTTTAAATAATATGATAATAGAAAGAGGACACCAGACTTGCAAAACCACAATTCTGAGCTATCTTTATAGTCTTTATTTCCCTATTCACCCATGTAGGCTTGTCTGGTAAAGGTTTTTGTACTCCTTTATACTCTAGCTCACATTCTGAGGCTAGAGAACATCTGGAAAAAGACATTTTTTTTCCTTAGTTTTGTCTTGGCTTTGTCTTCCTTTTTTGAACAGAGTCAAATAGATAGAGTCACAATATTTGATATGAAAACCATTTTCATGTTAATTCATTAACCCTTTGGGATAGCACATGGTGATTAAAGATGGACACGGGTTCGAAGTTTATCAGGAATAGTTCCAATGCGTTAATGATGCACGTTACTGATAGTGCAGAAAAATATGAGCAGATACTGAGGTTCCATTAATTTGGTCAAGATGTCCAATGAGATGCAAGCGGACCATAAGATAATTTCAAATTAAGTTGTCTGAGATGTCGTTAACTGTGTCATCAAGACATGGTTTTGCCATGATGTGTATCACTAGTAATATTATCTTTCTGGAATGCCACAAGAGAGAAAGCTTTCATTTTACCCATGTAAATGATCTAAGAATTTTCAGGTGATGTCACTGCATATTTTTTATTTTTCTCTCTGCACAATCACCTTTGCATGACTGTGGCAGTTCTTTTAAGTTTCTGCAGCTCCGTGGTGCTTGGTTATGTTCTTTAATTTGCTGTGCTGTTCTTGCAGAACATGTTTCTTCTAATGCCAGCGATAGTGAAAGTAGCTACAGTAAGTTACTGCTTTCATTAGAGTCCTTTTACTTTGCATTGCTTGTTCTGTTTGTTTCTTTTATTTTGTTTATCTCCTTGCTAGTCTTTTGTTCATGTTAAAAAGACGGTTGGAGCAAATGGCTTGGAATTCAAATTTACGGCCGACCACTTCTTGAGTACAAAGCTATAAAAGAAAACTGGTAACTTTTATGAGGGATGTTGTTATTTAGGATGTATTCTACAACATAAAACCATACCTGGCTTTGGGTAGCCTGTGAAAGTCATGATTATTTGGTTTAGTGACAAGAATTATTTCAGCAGGGAGGGTGCAGTTTCTTGATGATCTTTCAAGAGTAAAATTACTCCATAGCTGTAGTCAAATCTGAAAAAGACATGCTCTTTACAAGGTCACAATTTTTACTTGCATTTCTGCATGCTTGTATGAAGGGCTAGGAAATATACAGACCACAAAGTTTTGTTGAGCCTTTAATTTTGCCAGTACAGATTTCCTAATGCATATGGAAGTCTTCAAAAAAAAGGTAAGATAGACCTTCAGCCTTTAGGTACTGCCACTGAATGTCACTGATTCCCTGTAACTTGAGATCTCAACCCCGCAATGTGATTTGATTGAAATTACAGTCTCCATGTGGTCATACAGCCAAGTGGCAGATTGTACATACTGACTATTTATTAGTAATACTCAAAATTTAACCGATATAACTATTTTTTTCTGTAAGTGTTGAGAAGTGAAAAAAAAAAAAGGCATTAACTAAATGACTGGAAATGTAATAAAAGGTAATTAAAATGATAGCTTGCTTAGTAAATCACCCAGATTAATTTTTTCAAGCCATTTGCTTAGCAAATCAAGTTTTCCACCAGTCACTCAGCACTTGTGCTAAGCACCCACATGTGTTCAGGTAATCATTGGTATCATGTCTCATATTTACTAGTCTTGATATAGTGCATAGCAGTTGAGCTCTGTTAATAAACACGAGTTTGTTTCAGTAAAACAGCGAATCATATGCAATTCAGAAATAGTAAATTAGTTTGTGTTTTCTTCTATTGGAAAGGTTTACTTGGAAAGCAATTGCCAGAGTCACAAGAAAACAGTAGGCGCTCTGGAACTGCCAAGGTGCAATTCTGAACTGCTTTATTTTAAATGTGTCCTCCACTGAGGAATAGAGGAGGACTTTATGTTTGAAACATAAGATACTTTTTCCCCAGATTGACTTTACGATCAGGAATGAGTCAATAGGTTAAATTTTCAAAAATCTGCATAAGTCAACTCTCCCCCATGTGTGTTTAATTCAGGGTGAGCTCAGGGTAAAAGCCCAGAGGAGAATCCAAGCTGGTAGCTGAGCACATCCCATGCCTAACTGTCCTAAACAGGAGACTTAACAGGGGTTGCCCAGTTGCAGCCAAACATTTGGGACAGGTCCACAAAAGCTATTTCCCAAATTTTATCATAAGACAAGACAAGTAGCCTGGTTGGCTGTGCAATAACTTGAAATCAAGTGTATGTTTTGAGGTGCGAGAAGGGGGATAGAAATGTTTTGGGGAAGTTAGTTTGGACATAGGTACTTGGAAGAAAAAGTAGTGTTGGGGTAACAACTTCCCATGGTAGTCAGTCTCCTGGAGCGGTTTCCATCTGGGCAAGCTGCTGTCTTACCCCTGCAGCATCCAGACTGCATCCTGTTGGCTGGAGCTCCCCATGCGTTACTGGTGTCTCCAACAACTGATGCCTGGGGGAGCAGATTAAGGCAGGGCTTCCTTCTCTGCCCATGCCATTTAGCATCAGAAGAAGCCAGTCTTAGATTATGCCAAATGAAAGTGGCTTTTAAATCCAGAACCCGGTGCCCAAATGGTCTATTTCCGTTTGCTAATGATTCATTAGTGTGTGCTGACATGACATTTGAAGGCATGACAACTGTCATTTGACAGTTTGAAGTTAAACTATCAATTTGAGGGCATTCAGCAACCCATGACTTTGGTTACCAGCCTATTTCACATGGTCACGATGGCTCATCAACTATAACCTGTCTGAGTCTTCAATTACTTACATGGCCATGGTATATCAGCCTATCTCCTGTGGGGACTTAAAGCCTTCCTGAGTTCAGCTGGATATTCTTTGCATGTCCAGGCTACCTTATAAAATATATTATTTGCATCTGGGGAGCTGGGAACAGGGCCCAAGGTCAGTCACTGCCACAGAACCAAGTTTGTTCTAGTTCCGTTGGGAGTCAGCCATGTTGCAAAGTTGTCCTTCAGTGTGATGTAGTGCCACTTTGAGGAGAATTTTTGTGTTCAAGGTGTGGAACTACAAGTTATTTAACAAGGACACCATGTGTGTAGACTTGCAAACTCACCTAGCCCTCAGTCTGTGCACTGGTGAAACAGGGCATACTAAGAGGAGAAAAAAAAAATTAAGCTGAAAAATTCATGGGGAGCAAACATAAAACTGCTGGAGAGCTCAAAAGTTTTGCACCAGATTTTTATCCTGTTCCATTGCCCCTTTTTTCTTCTGTTCCCCAGCAAATGAGCAGGAAGAAGGGTGTTGACTGTCCCACTGCATTCTGAATTGTGGGAAATTAGGAAGAGTGACTGGAAAGTTGCCCTGCAGAAAAGGACCTGGGAGTGTTGGTTGACAGCTGGCTGAATAGGAGCCAGAAGAGTGCCCAGGTGGCCAAGCAGACCAACAGCATCCTGGCTTGTATCAGAAATAGTGTGGCCGGCAAAACTAGGAAAGGGATCGTCCCCCTGCACTTGGCACTGGTGAGGCCCCACCTCAAATAGAGTGTTCAGTTTTGGGCCCCACACTAAAAAGACATTGAGGTGCTGGAGTGTGCCCAAAGGGCAATGAAACTGGTGAAAGGTCTAGAGAACAAATCCTTTGAGGAGTAGCCAAGGGAAGTGGGGTTGTTTAGCCTGGAGAAAAGGGGACTCAGGGGAGACCTTATCAGTCTCTGAAACTACATGAAAGGAGGTGGTGGTGAGGTGAGTATTGGTCTCTTTTACCCAAGTAACAATCAATAGCACAAGAGGAAACAGCCTCGAGTTGCACCAGGGGAGTTTTAAGTTGGATGTTAGGAAAATTTTCTTCCCCAAAAGGGTTGTCAAGCTCTGGAACAGGCTGCCCAGGGAAATGGTGGCATCACCATCCCAAGAGGGATTTAAAAGACATGTAGAAATGTTGCTGAAAGACATAGTTTATCAGTGGACTTGTCAGTACTGGGTTAATGGTTGTATCTTAAGGGTCTTTTCCAACCTAAATGATTCTATGCTTCTATGAAATCAACTATTTGCACCTTGGCCAGCACCAAGAAAAGTGTTTGGATAAGAAATGACTGGCAAGTGCCATGTGTTCTCCTGCAGGTGTTCATATTTGTCCCTATAAAAAAGACCAGTTGGAGTCCAGAGTGAGGTGTTCTGCATTTTTTCTAGTGAGTCTCTGGCAATTGTTTTAACATTTTTCTATTAACTTTTGCTTCTCATGATGAGCATTTAGTGAAAAGTAGATAGTGTCAAAACTAATGCTACTTATCATTCCTAGAACCATTCCAAACCAGGGATACAACTACGCAAAGTGATGTCGAAGGCTTCTGAGAGATGTCCAGGCTGTGCCCTGGACAGTGATTAACAGAGGGGTTACAAACTGAATGAGCTTTTTCTGGGGAATATATTATGATGTATTAGTATTTATTTAGAAAATTATATTGCTGAAAAAAATGAATATTTCCCTGAAGTATTGCTCATGTCTTGGGCTTGGGGATTAAAAAATCAATTTCTTAACAGACGCCAGATACTTTGTAGGTCAAAATAAGAATATAATTGAAAATCCTCTTGTGTGGTCTCAAGAGAAAAATCCTTTGACCACTCCTTATCAACAAGGCTGTTGCAGATAGTAAAGATGATTTCTTCTGCCAGTTCACTCAACACTGAGTTTATAATGAGCAAAAGAGTTAGAGCCAACAGTGGAATTTTATTTTATCACAACAGATTACCTTCAGCTCCAGCAACTTCAGGGGAAACCACGAACAACTGACAGAAGAATCTAGCCCTTTATTAAAAAAAGTAAAAGTATTTTGGAGCCAGGAACAAATGCTGACCTGATTGAAAAGGGGTTGAGTTGCCACACAGCTGCTGCTGTGTCACACTGGCCATGCTAATATGAAGGCTGTAACTATACTGGTTGATTTGCATCTGTTCTCAGCAGTGAAACCAAATTTGCAGAGTGCTATATAAAGTCCTGGTCTAGCAGAAAGTTCTTTTTGTGATAACGATACATACAGCTAACCTAGACTTATCCCTGAAGCAGCTAATCACACCATGATTGAAAGTTTAGTTTTGAGCTTTTTAGCTTAAAATGTTCTGATTTCTTTTTCAAACCAAGCTTGTAAGAACACATTTTTTTTACTGGAGACTCATCAGTTTTTATTTTATGAGACACGATTTTCATAATGGCCATGCATTTCAAGTCTCTCTACTGCATATGTGTTATAACTCTCGTAACACACAGTTCAGCAAAGGTTTTTACAGCTGTCATCAAAATTACACACACATTACCACATCTTTTTAGCCTAATTGCATAAATGGTTGTGATTGTACCAATTACCTAGAGAGGCAATACATGACAGAAAGTTAAAAATAAGGAAAATTGTTGGAAACAGAATTTTTACCCTCTGTCAGCACATCACTCTTGTAATGAGATCTGAAGTCTCAAAACAAGATTAAATGAGTCCTGATTATTATGTTAGGCCACTGATTAATTAGGATGTGTTGGCTCTTAGACTCCCCAAGGATTATTATATTACAGGCATACTCAATTTGGCACAAGCATTGAAGACTCATTTTATGTCCTTACAAGCTATATTAATCTTAAACATACAGTGTTAATAGACCACTTTTCAGTCACAAGCTCGTTCTCAGACTAATGACGATCTTATTATATATTGGAATTCCAGCCTTTTGTAGCTATCAACATATTTCCAAAAATCATGTGTTTACTTACATAAACAGAGGTCCAGGAAAGGGATTCTGAGCCAAATAGAGACTAGGATATTGACTGTCCAGTGCAGCTTGTTCAGATGAAACAAAACAAGAAATTGATTTCTCCAAGATCATGCAAGTACAACTCAGGTAATCCATACATTAGCCCAAAACCTAAATGGATGGTGATTTTAGATCCATCTGAGCATTAAAATTCAGGCTTGAGGACAAAAATAAAATTAATTTGGCTCATCTCTGTGTATCTCACATGTGTATTGATGGTGACTACCACCATTAGTCCAGAAAATTTAACGACCCTTTTGACTCCCTTTGATTTTTTTCTAAAATCTTCATCAATTTTTAGCTGTCTTCATAAGCACAACTTTTTTGTTATTCACTGCTTTAGATCCCTTTCCAGATTTTTTTCATTCACAACCATTAATAGGATGCCAGAATTCATGGATTTTGTTTCCATGAGGCGCCTGATGAGGGTAGGTGTTTGGTTCCATGGTGGCTGCACCATAGCAGCTCACAGTAGCCCTCCTGCCCCACTACTCAAATGCTGGGTGCAGTTGCACCAGCTATATGGAAACTCTGGATTCTCTGAAACACTATAAAATCCTTTAAAAACATTAAATTACTAGTCTTTATGAAACTCATCTGACCACACAGGACCATTCTGCCCGGTTTATAGAGACTACGAGTTATAACAAACTCCAGGGTATTCTCTTCCCAAGACTGAGAAATCACCAATAAGCAAACCAAGAACAAAGGCAACCAGAGCCGTAGCAATCCTGGGAAAGTGAAAAGCCTCCAATGATTTTACTCAGAAGTATAATGCATTTAGGATAGCTTCCTTTTTCTTTCTTCTCTTATTTTTTTTCCTTTTCTTCTCTTTTTGACATGATGGAATTTTACTGAATAACAAGGGATCATGTCAAAATCCTACAGAAAGGGCTTTTTCTTTTTTCTCTTTGTTTTGTCTGTTACATTTCACAAAGATTTTCTAGATCAATACAGCTAACCTGTGCTAATTAAGCCATTAACATGGATGGTAACTGAGGCTTAGTCAAATGATAAATAAGAGCCCATGTCCTGCTTAATTTCGCACGGTCTCACACCTCAAAGCTATCACACAGTTATAGCAATCCAATTATTGATTGATTCTAGAGCTCTTTGTTATACTTAATGCTCTATGGACTACTTCAAAGTCATGCAGTACTGATTGAGTAAAGATCATTAAAAAACGCCATCTAGTACAGTTAACATGCACACTAGCCTCTGAGGACTTACAAGATTTTGTCTGGAGAGTGCTTAGAAGGATTTTATTCACATAGAAACATGAGCTTCATGAGCCCTTTTTCCAGAAAAGTGAAGTAGTGCAAATGTTACAGCTTTCCCCCATGCTCACTCCACATTGAGTGTGAGACTCATTGCTGAAGAGCCTTCACTCAAGAAGATGTCTGAGTCCCTGTGTATCACAGTCAGCCTCAGAGTTTCTTCTTCCTTGCTACAGTCCTTTCCAATAGCTTAAGCTTCAGCACAGTTTGAGTGGACTGGAGTTTTTTCTTTTCCTTCAGGTGTTTGTCTCCATAGCCCATACCCTCCTGATAGTGTGGATGTGGATAGCTTTAGCATGTGGACAACTCTGCCAGAGACTGGACAAAACAGAGGCAAAAGCTGTGCTGGCTTATTTGTGCTTGCTATAATTCTATACCAAAGACAAATATTAGCCCACAGAGAAATTTTTAAACAGAGTTATTGGTTATTTTCCTTCATTTGCTCTTGCCACTGTCACTCCCATGGGATTCTACTGTTTAAATGCAGATGTCTGGATCTGACCTTGCTGTTTAAATGCTGTTATGGGACACTGAAGACAAACACGCCCTTCTGACTTTTTCTCTCATCCCAAAGTACACATCTAAAATAGGTCAGATGACTCATGTCTTAGAATAAGGACTTGCCTGTTTGTAGGTACCCACTCTAGAGGATACCTAAGGACTAGCTCAGACATAAGCACTCATGATAGGGGTTTCTGAAATGAATTCCCTTCTGCAGAACTGTATGCCATTAAAACAAGTATTTTCAGGTTTAAGGTTGTATGTGTACTGACAGGCTCCCCTCCACATGCTTAGCACAGAATGGCTTCATTGCCCACCCCAAGACTGACTTTCTCAGGCCATTGAAAAGCACAGCCCTGGCTCTGGGGGGCTGGAGGGCAGGCAGTGAATCATCTCATCTCCAGAGGAATGGAACATCCTGAGCTCTATATCACCCAAAAAGTTTCCCAGGCAAACTTAAGGGGAAATAGTACATCTGGTGCATGAAACTTAGTATAACAGTAATTCTAGGTTTTTAACTTTGCAAAATACCAAAGTTAAGTGTGTGATTACAGTATCAAACATTTGCAAATAGAGAAGAAAATTCATTATCCACACTCCTCATACGTTATGTTGCCTTGTCCTCAAAAGCTGTCTAATTTCTTCCTTTTATTAAAAATGATGTTTTCTCCTTTGCTGCTTCAGCAACATTGTTAGGTTGGATTTGGCCCTGTCTGTTCTCCCTCTCTCCTAACACATCAGTACATTTTTTAATTTGCTTTTCTGTCATTGTCCTTAATTACAGCATTATTTTTACTTGAAAAGCTTTCTTACACATTTCTCACTACTGTCTAGATAATGTATCACAAAAAAAAAAATGTCTAGCAACATATTAGATTCATGAGGTAGGAGTCAGTTTAATACTAATAATTTTATACATACTTGGGCACTGGGCATTGCATCCAGTACAAACCTTGTTAATATAATTAATGGAGCTTCACAAGTGATTCAGCAGTCAGACTACTTCAGGGTGAGGTGTAGGCCCCTCTAGATCATACCTATATGGAGCCCACCAAAATAATGTAACACACTCATGTGCATGCGAGCAGATGAAATACAGGCAATCCTGTCTATTTTTGAAAGCCCTGATAGCCCTGATGGCAGTCTTTTTTTTTCTGTAGCATCTCAATTAGTTGCAGAATCCCATCTGTGGATCCTCTTAGAGACAAGCCCAGAGCTGAGTAAAAATAAAATCATAATTTTAAACTTTACTAAGCGTAAGTCACATTTAGAACCTGCCAGAGCCTTTATGTGGTACCAAGTATGTACCAGTAACCTAGAAAAAGGAATATCCAGAAATTATTCATGCAAGAGGTTGAAGAATCCTCCCACCCCTCTCCTCTTGCACTCTCATAGAGGAGAGGACAGTGATGCATCGGGGCTGTACATCTGCACCAAAGTTGTGATCCACAGAGTGTCATTTGTTTCTTTTGGCAAATTTCTCTGCTTTTAAATGCCACCATAAGCAAAAAAGCACTGTCCTAGCAGGAGTGGAGGGAAGATAAGTGTGTAAAATACGATGCTGTGCGTTTTGTGTTCAGGAAAGGATGAGGGTCAGAAAATAGCTCATAGCTAGATGTCAGGTTGTGAATAAACTAGACTATGGAGGTTATGCATAGAGCAATGATCAACCAAAATGTATATATTCTGAGGATAAAAATTGTTCAGCTGAGATAGCCTGTGGATTTGTCCTGTAGCAGCATGTTAGGGCCTTAACAATCAGACAAGAAAAAAGAATTGTATCTCAAATTTCTGCACTATCCTTGTAAACAGCCTTGCTGCCAAATCAATAAATGAAGTGTTGTTGTCCATCATTGTAAAAGCCCAATTTCAGCAAAGTGAATTGAAACATGTGGCAGGGGAGGGAGGGGAAGGAAAAAAGTGCTCTCCACACTTTAAAGTTATGAGGGACTTTGGAATGGTTCATTATCAGAGAGAAGTGTTGAATCCGATCTGTCTCTCTGTGAAGCATTTTATCAAGCTTTAGCACTTGATGTGTTGCTTGTCACCTTCAATCTCTTCTCTTTCTTCTCTCATCAGGAGGCCAAGAAGACTGCATCCTGTCTTATGAACCTGTCAGCAGACAGGAAAGTAAGTTTCAGCTGCTTTTCTGTCACTCTTCCTTATATTTTCCATTTCACATTTTGAGGGCCAACAGAGCAGTAAGCCTTGCCGTGCCAGCCCCAGATTCTCTGTGGCTCCTTTGCCTTGGCCAATCTATCAGTTCTGGACATTTCCTTCTCTGACTCCCATTCCCTAACATTCTCTGGACTCTCCTCAGCATGCTCTCATGGCCTTTACTAATAAATATGTTAATCATTCTAAAAAATATTGATGCTCATTTTCTTGATTTACTGTTATAGTTTTATATGGGGAGCCTTTATTATTTTCCTTCTCATATAATATGCACCTCTGAATGGGGTAAACAAACCTATGGGAATTCAACTGAAAACGGGAGTGTGCCCACCTGATTTAATGGGGAATGTATTCATATAGCTAAGGGGAAAAAAAATCCTGCAATATCCTTTCTATGCCTCATGAGAGAATCCATCTGCAAGCATCTGGGAGTGGCTTCGTTGAGCAGCAGCAAATATATACACTTCCACATCGTCATTTGTCTATATGTGCATGCATCATCACAGAGCTCTGCAAAATGCTCTGTCCCTTTTCCTTATCCATGTCAATAAATACATTACGCATCAATAAAATGTACACCTAAGTTTTCATGCATAAAGGCAGCAACTCTGGTTAGCGCATCTTTGTGAAGATTTACTGTTATTGCCAGTAAGATCATCAAAATATACCTTTCTTTTTGTTGTTCAGTTAATTACACCAGGCCAGTTATTATTCTGGGTCCTATGAAAGATCGGATCAACGACGATTTGATATCTGAATTCCCTGATAAGTTTGGGTCGTGTGTACCACGTGAGTATGATTTTAATCCTTGTTTTGCTGCTGAGGAGCTGTATCCCTCGGTGCCACGCATTAAATGAATTGCTGAGAATGCAGTATCTGTGAAGTGTACATAGCTGAGTTTCTCAAAAACCTTTTCCATCGAAGAAAAAAAAAAAAGCAGAAATGAACAAAAAATAAAACAATATTGTGAAGTTCTGTAAAGTAATTCTCTAAAGAAGTATCTCAAAAGCTGTAGTGTATTTTTAAAGAAGGACCCTTCTATCCACTAATGCAATTTACTCATCAGCTAATCTGTGTTCTCTCAATAAAAGCTTGAAATACTGGTAAATTTTAAAATTTTTCACCTCAGTTGCACAGCTATAATAAATATACAGAGTAATCTGTGATTTGTGTGAGATCTAGACTGTCTAATCTGAAGGCAATATTGGACCCTGAATTAGGCGTAGTGTTCATATCTTGGATCATTAAAGCTTGCTGAATGTTTATTTCAGACCCTGATTGCAATGTTACTTTATCCTAAACTGTTGTCTTTGCATATACAACAACTTAAAACTGCTAGAGATGAGATCAGAAACAACCTTATACCGAAGGCTAAATTAAATTGATGAGATTGTGATGCATTTTATCACTGTAATAGGATTAGATTTACAATCTGGAATGGATTTTGTATTTGGGGCTTGTTCATGATCCTGGTGAAAAAGGGGGAATTCTGGTAAATATTCATTTTATGTTAGCCTGTAAGGATTGATTGGAGGTAAACATCAGAAGGCATTATTTTAAAAAAGACAACTTTATTGTCATAACTCCATTTAAAGAACACAATGTAGTAGCCAAAGATCTGCTTCCAGATGTGGAGCACCTCCACATAGATCCACCATTGTCCACTGGGCAAACCTTAACTGGAGCACTTTTTGCATGAAATGTTTTTACAGACTTCTTCATCTTATGTCTTTTGTTTCATGCAGATACCACACGGCCAAAGCGTGACTATGAAGTGGATGGGAGAGATTATCATTTTGTCATTTCAAGAGAACAAATGGAAAAAGATATCCAAGAGCACAAATTTATAGAAGCTGGGCAGTACAATGATAATTTATATGGAACTAGTGTCCAGTCTGTGAGATTCGTGGCAGAAAGGGTAGGTTGAGGCTAGTTTTATTTACCAGGAAACCTGATCTATTTTGTTGCCACATTGTATCTCAGACATGATTCTTTTGAAAAAAATACAAATTATCTGCAAAACGACATTCTAATATTTATAGGCTTTGTAATGAGTCCACAAGTGGAGTCTCTGACTTTGAATTAAAACATCCTGGGCACTTTTTGTTCCTGGATGTAGTACCGTGGATTGAGGGATATAATACAGCACCTCAAGTACACCCCAAAATAGCCTTCCCTCTTCCCTCTGTAAGATAGGTGAATAAACTTATCTCACTTTCACACAGGTGAAGAACAAAGTACAGAGATATTAAATGACTTGTCTCAGGTGGCACAAGGACTCTTTGACACAGGCAAGAACTGAATAACCAGTATGAACGTAGACATCCTATTATTTTTATGAACCATTTTTCTTCGTCTCTGAAGAAAATTCCTCCCTCTAAAGTTCATCCCAGTAAAATAAAAAACAACTTTGTTCTCCTATCTCCAGTGAAGATTTTATATCATCACCAAAGCAAAGGAACAAGTGCAGAGGAGCCCTGGGGTCCCCCATCCCTGGTGTGTCAGTAATGGATTTATTCCAGGGCACTGTGTTGCTGAATTGCTTCCTGTCTTTTGGCTGATATGTAGCGAACTATAAAACAAAAAATATGTGCAAAAATAAACAGGTTCTCATCTGTTTCCAATAGGGCAAGCACTGTATACTTGATGTGTCAGGAAATGCTATCAAAAGACTACAAGTTGCACAACTCTATCCCATCGCTATCTTCATTAAGCCTAAATCATGGGAGCCTCTGATGTGAGTATAAACTCATCCAAACCTTTTATTTTCAAGGTACAGTCTCTAGTAGCTCAACAGAGGTCTTTAGTGTATGTTTTGCCTGTTCTCTAAAATCAGTAATGACAAGAAGAAGGGAGAACAGTGGAGACTTGCTCTCTCTGCCTGCTATCCTCTGTACTCTGGCATCTCAAGGAACAAGCCAAAGCTGCCTTTGAACGTTTCACACTGGGACATATGGCCTTACATGCTGGACCATGAAGGATTCCCTGTCAATGCTCAGTGTCCTTGTTCCAATCTGTACAGCAGGTTGACCAAGGACTCATGCAGCCTTAAGTCCTCTTGGGGTGTAGAGTCTGGTCACAGGGAGTGAACCAAAGAGTAGACCTCTGTCAGATTTGCAGTGTGTGCCTCTTCATCAGCCCTTCAGTTATTTGAAGGTCTGTAAGAGAGTAAACAAGGACCCATAGGACTGGGGAGGGGCAAACATAACATCTGAAAAAGGAAAGAGAAGGCAACGACTTCATGCTGTCACCAGGCAACCTAATTTCAAAATTCAGAAAAGCTCTGGGATCCAGTGAACAGTCTAGCAACTCAAGTGTAATAACTTTGAGGATAAAAAAGGTTATTACAGGCAGACAATGTATGTGTATCAAGAACAAATCAAGTCAATCTTTTTTCCTTTTTTCATGAGATGGATATCAATAATTGTATTGCTTGTATAAATATTGATTTTTTTATTCTGACTCCATGGGTCATTCTCAGTAGCATCTTAGGGAAATATAATATTAATAATTAGGGAAGTATAAGATTAGGGAAATACAGTCCTAAGAGAGTCTAGAAAGCATGTAACACGTTCCATCACTGAAAATGGCACTGTTAAACTGGGAGGGTAACAGCAACCCTGCAATTGTATTTCCTGAGCTGTGTCACTATTTGGGATCCCTTTTTCATTAATTACTTGAATGATGAATTGGGCAGTACTTTCATAAAGTTTGTGAATAACTTATGGCTGAGCAAGGTGGCAGGCACTTTGTAGGATAAGATTAAAACTCAATGTGAAATCAGTAAGATGAAATTCAGCACAGACAAAGGAGAGAAAATGAAATGCATGAGTGCAAGCAGGGAATAATTAAGCTATAGCACTTCAGAAAAACATCTGGCTGTTGGGATGGATCACACAGGAATATGAATGGGTGGATAATGTGGTTGCAAAAAAGGAAACTGCCACTGTGGGCTCTATTAACATCACTGTTGTGTGAGGAAACAATAGGCAGGTATTCTGTTTTACTGGGTATGGATGAGGCCTCAGATACAGTTCTGGCCTGATTCTGGGTACCGTCCTGGAAGTGGAGGAGGAATGGGGGTTGCCTAGTGTCAAGAAAAGAAGGCTGAGGAGGAAATATAGAAGTGAACTTCGTACTGGTTAAAGCTCAGGATAAAATACATTGTGATCAATTGTTTTCCATGTACAAACATGGTAGTGCAAAAACTTCACTTAATTTGCTGTGGTAGGGATGAAATTTTGAATTCTGTGCCTTCCTCTCACCAAAAGCTCTGTAAATAGCAGGTGATGGCATAGGTATCTGTTACACAGCTAAAACGCAGGCATCCTCCCTCCCGTGACAGGCACATATCTGGTGGTGGTAATAGTGTGCCAACAAGCACTAGGCGACAAAACTGGAGCCTGCTAACGTGCCCCATCCCATCCCATGAATGCACATCCTCCCTGGCCCTGACTTTTGGTGATAAGGTTGTTGCCTGTGCAGCCACATTCCAGGGAATGATGTACAGTGTGTGGTAATTGCACAGCCCCACCCTGACCAAAGCCCTCTTGGGTTGGATGACTCCTTGGTATTTCTATAGTTCAGTTATAATCTGATTGATTATCTTGCTGTAGAGAAGGGGAAGGGTGGTTTGAGAGCCCACGTTGTGCATTGATTGCTTTAAGATATATCTTAACTTACACTTTCCCTATCCATAAAAAAAAATCCATTATTTATTTAATGCTGATATTGCATCTGGAGTGATTAAAAAAAAAAAAAAAGTAAAAAGTGGCCCTTACTATGAAAAATACATTAGTCACAACCAGAAATGTGGCAATAACATAAAGGCTTCATTAATTTCATATGAGAACAGTAATTGACTTCAGACTGGCTGAAAAATGTTATGAAGAAACAAAATATTATGACAATCATTCTGTTATTAAACCAAAGCAATACTAATATTTCACTTAGTTGTGCAGTTAGCATAAGTTTCCTTACTGATGTAAATCAAAAGTAAGCATTCTTCACTCTTCAAATCTAAATCTGCTTCAGTTTTGATGACATTGTGTTGGGGACAAAGTGAAATCCATTAACATGAATTTGAATTCCTTTTTTTTTCAATAATATGGTTTATATAAATAAATTATGTAAAGACAATACAACTTCTGGAAAGAAAAAAAAAAAAGATAGAAAAATGTAATGAATTCAGGCATTCTAAATTAGTTTATCCCCTGCAGCTTGCTCTCCACAAATAATCTTTTTATCTAGTTAATCTATCTAATGTGTATTTATCTTACCAAAGAGCACCCAGAATTAGCTTCTAACAGAAATGAGAACTCTCTTAATACAAACAGGATCATTCTTTTTAAAGAATTGTCTTGAGAGTAATGACACAACTCTGAACCACTTGCTTGTCAAAATTATTTGGTTTATTTTGTAATGCAGCTAAATCACTCAGGATCTAGCTAAACAAATACATACTCTGACATGAGCATAGTGAGACATTTTTATGACAGGGTAACCGTGCTAACTGTCTTTTTATGCATTACAACACAAAACTCATAGTTTTATTTGCCATAACTGTTACTCTCATTCATACAAATGAGTTGAAAGTTAGTGGAATAGTAAAGCAGAATCATAAAATTACAAAAGATAAAAGAATTGCTAATGAGAACGTGCAGAGAAATTAAGTCAAAAGATTTAACTTTTAATTTTTTTTTTATTTTATTTTTTTTTTTGCAAAAATAGCATTTAAATTAGAAGGGTCTAATTCTCATTTACACATATGTTCCTTTGCACAGTGAAGATAAGAAGAGTAAAGGGATTTTATATTAATCTTGCACCTGTACTTGAAACTTTGTTATCACTGGCTCTCTGGAAATGAACACTAATGACCACAGCAATGTGAGGCCATAAGGGACTGTTGGATGTAAAAGCAGCCAGCACACGTGGTCTGAGCTGGATGTCTCCTGATCCTGCTTTCTTCAATGAAATTCAGTCCTGAAAATCAACTTGCTGTGAACAGATTGGCTCCCCGTTTTTTCTTTTCTCGGCTCTACATGACCCCACCTCAGAGGTTTAATCTGAGAGGAGTCCCTGTTGGTACCTCTCTATTGGCATGTGTCTAGGAGGACAGTGGTGGGATCATGGGGATGAGAGCTGGAAGCAAGAGGCTGCCAGGGTGAGCTCTTCACTGGGAGAGGAGGAAGATGTGCCTGGAGGGACAGCTCTTTGCAAGCATTTTGAATTCACCAGCTGTGCAGGTCCCTAGCTAGGAAAGAAAAAAATAGCATATTGTTTGACAGCACTTTTAATTCATCATGAAAAAAGGATGTCATGGTCCTCCCCATTCTCCATCCTCTCTTCTGAAGACACAAGGCGTGAATAAAACCAGCGCAGCTTAACATCCCAAGCAAATCTATACTCTGCATATACAATGAAAATTTCTCATTGTGTCAGAGTATTTGTTGTTTTAAATGCTTCTTTATATTTTTATTTTCTCCTATGATATTCAAGGATCTTGAGGAAAGCTTCTCAGAAATTTAACAGAAATAGATCTGGAAGGAGGAGAATGCTGCTAGCACTAAAATATTGGCTGAGTGTACTTAAGATGAGATAAAATGTCATGTGTGCATAAGAATTTGCAATGCACCTAAAGATATTCAAGCAGGCATAGCTGATAAGAAGCCTGTCTGAACTCAATTAGATAGTAATCTTTCCTATAAATAGAATGAGTAGTGTTACAAATTTAATGTATGACATAGCATGTATGATATAGCATATATGCCATAGATTGGAATATATTAAAACTATTTATATAATCCACAAATAATTGTCATAATTTTTTAAGAAATCTTTCTTATCCTTCATTTTATAAACCTGCTTTCTGCATTGCATTGGTAATTTTTTAGTTTTTTTTAAGCAGTGTTCCCAGCTGTATCGCTAGCTATATAGATAAACAGCTTTAAGTCATTTCTAGAAATCCTTTTTTGCATCCTGGACACTTTACAGGGTGTTTTTGAGAAACCAGGTAGGATTTAGCTGTAGCAAGTTCATACTTTCATGCACTTCACAGATCATTTTTTTATGCACCATCATGCACATAATTTCCTACATGCATCACCCATGTCATACTGTATACAGTCTATTACCACATAATCATATGATTCAGTGCAAGGCATAAAATCAGATTTATGTAGAACACAAGCTGCTCCCTTCTCTTGTTTTCCTAATTGCCTCAGAAAATTTCCATCATGTTTTAAGAAAAATGAATTCATGCTGTAAAAAATGCTAGAACAAGCAAACTCTATTTATTATTACTAATTAACTTAGATATCTGAAGGCATATATGTGCAAGGCACTGAATGATTATGAACTTTATTCTTTGAAAGTATATAGTGGTATTAAAAGCAGAGTGTGCATGGGCAAGACAACTCATTTCTTCAAATTATTTAAAAATGCCTCTGTCAAAACAGAAGTGCTCCACCAAATAACAAAACCTTGGCAATAACAGAGTGTTGCTGACACTATGTTTTTACATTTCTGGGTACCTCACACATTTTAGAATCTATAAGACACACTTGACTGGGAATCTCTGTAGTTAATCAGTAAGGACTGGAACAGAGAACACAAGTATCTTAAGTCTTCCTGATGGACAGACTCAGTTTGATTTCTTGTGATCATCTGGAACTCATGCCCACACCTGAACCAAGAAATCTCCCTGGAAGACATGCTGGATTGCTTCTGGGGCTTCCCTACAAGGGATTGCAGTGACTCTGGGATTCCTCCTATAGGGTCAGGAGTCTCACTGTACCGAATCCTGCCTTTACTCATGATTTCAGTTCCATAACCCCAGTCAAACACCAATCAGTCAAAACACAACTTCCATTTCAGCAGTTTGGACAAGATCATTTAGCTGAGACAGCCAGCTGTGAGCTGGGAGATAGGGAGGTTCCTGGAGGAGCTTCAGCTCTGGAGGCAGGAGTGCTCCAAGTGCACAAAACTTGAGAATTCCTGATTCCCAGACGTACCTGTGGACTCCTGATGCTACAAGTCCATCTCAGATAGCAGTTACCAGATTTGTGCCTCATATTTTGTTTGGGAATGTAGAACAGTGAATCCAAATGTTAAAAATCAGCAGAGAAATAGGAAATAGTCAAAGGAAAAGTCTGGACATGTACATTTATACTATCTAAGAAAGACATTAAATTTAAAATCCTGAAACTGCCCATGAATCAATGGAAGAATTTCACTCCTTGGTTCTGGTGCTGATTTCAGTCCATCTGTGTTTCAGTTGAACATATCTTGTAGAAAGCTGTTCCAGTAAGAATCTAAATTTCTTGATGACTTCTTCTGTGTTTCTAGGGAAATGAATAAACGTCTCACAGAGGAGCAAGCAAAGAAAACCTATGATCGAGCAATTAAATTAGAACAAGAATTTGGAGAATATTTTACAGGTATGTTTTTATTAAAAACAATCTTTTCCCAATGTATAGTGGTTTATTGCAAAGCAACAAGATCAGCTTTATTTCTGGCCTATCATTATGGTGTGTCCACAGTACAGACTCATAGCTTGGGACTATGGGTTGCCTGAATCTCAAGGGCAGTTGAGGTGTTCAGCTCCTCAGCTCTACAGAAACATCTTTGCTTCAATTTGCTTCCCTCTCTGACTCAAAACTGTTTTCAGTGAGGTCAATAAAAGTGTTGCATCATTGCATTTGTACAGACCAAAGAGTTCCTCAGTAGCTCAAGGCAAGAGCTGTGGAACATGGGAAGGAAAAAAAAAAGGCATCTTCTTCCTAACCTGAAAAAGAGCAGGATTTAAGACCTGCTCTGAGCCTCAGCATTTCCTTTGGGCGGGTTTAGGCAGTTCCTTACTCAAGGGACTGGTATTTGTGGATAACACTCAGAAGTCCAGTTGTTCCTCCACATGCTGACAGTGAGCATAATCTGAACTGCCGTTCCAGATTCCTGGCTGTGGGGACAAGGAATTTAAGGGTATAGAGGCTGTGCTTTGTGTTGCAGGTGCTTTATCTTCTGTCAGTTTGGGCCTGATCTAGCCAACTTTTGCAGACAAGAGTGAGTTTGTTAAAATTAGGTCAAGAAAAGAGTAGGCTGCGTATCTCCTGCTGCACAGTGCTGAAATAGCTTCTAAATCAAATGGAATGTAAAGTTTGGTGCGCAACAGTGGGAACCCACCATGCTGCCCTCTCCTAGGGCAAAGTTGCCCATTCTCTAAGCTAACCTAACTCAGTCTTCTCACTACAAGCAGTAGGATGGGTCTCTGTCATGGGAGGGTGCCATTGGTTTCAGCTAGTTGCCATGTGCAGGGGGTATGACTTTTCCATAATCATCATCACAGTGTTCTAGTATTCCTTCTGCTTTCATCACTATTTGTGGGTATACTGAAAATCTGATGACATTGGATGCTGTAAAATATGTCAATTAAAAGAAGTATTGATATGTTTTCTTACTGCAGCTATTGTCCAAGGAGATAGCTTAGAAGATATATATAATCAATGCAAACTTGTAATTGAAGAACAGTCTGGGCCTTTCATCTGGATTCCTTCAAAGGAAAAATTATAAATTAGCCACTGCACCTCTGATTACGATGGGAGAATACTTAGAAGAAAACTATAATATACTATTTGGAGGCTTTCCTGTTTTTGTTGCATTTATGTTCTTTGCAGTCAATGTGAATTTTGATGAATGTACAACACAAAGTGTTTGAAGCCATGAAGGACACTGATGGGTCAAAGGGTAGGAACAAAAAGACTTCTACCACATAAAGCAAACCTGTTGTGTGCGCAGAGAACGAGCTGTAGGTATAAACTTTTGACATGGAGACTCTCTGTCAAGGGGAGCTAGCCACCTCCTGTGCCCATGCGGACAATTTGATTGATTTCAATGGCTGAGCTCCGTGTGTTGGTTGCTTTAAAGAGAAGTTCCCAGCTCTTGAACCTCATATAGGGCTTGATCCTGCAAGGCGCTCAGCACTTGACTCCAATTCCTACACGAGTAGCCCATTGACTTGGAGTCACTTGTGACCCTTCCCTATGCCATTCAGCCCCAGCAGTTCCAGCAGGACTATTCATGTGCTCAAAGCTAAGCACGGGCTTAAGCGTTTTGCTACATCAGGGCCACATGCACCTTGCAAAATCAAGCTCAGAGTACTTGGTCCACTTGCTACTGAAGTCACTGGTAGGCCCCTCTTTGACTTCACTGGGAGGCGGGTCCTACTCTAAGCTTTTCATTGCACATTTGTAGTTGGTACACCTCGACTTTGGTAACTATGCACATGTTTTGATTTCTGAAACCAAGTCAAGCATTTCTTTTTTCCCCTTTGGAAACGCTATCGCATCAAGAACTAATAATATAGATTATTTTAATGGAGTTTGGGGGTGGGAGAGGATGGAAGCATTTCACATCACACACACGTGCACGCAAACATATTCTCATGTGGACACACACACATGTATGAGGATTCACAGCACCTATGTTGACAAGGAGGGATACAACTGGGAAAAGCTTTAAAATTTTTGATTGTCTATTTTATCATTTATATTGATAGAAGGCACTTAAAGATGGAATAATTTATAAAAATAAAAATATATTGATGTATAGAAACTAATTTCTATAGGTAAAAATGTTTTTGTGAGATATTTTGTAAAGATTAATTAATGGAAAGATTAAATATTTACACCCTTGTGTGACTGCAAAATGTAAAGAGGACCATCAAGTTGCATTATCCCTTTCCTGTAACAGATTCTCTATTATTAATGACAAGCAGGATAATTCCTTAAACTGTAGTTGTCAGTTTGTTTTTCTCTCAATTTAATCCTCTCCCTTGCCTCTATTTAATCATGATGAACTCCTGTGGAAAGACCTCTTAAACTGACCGCCCTGTAGGACCTTCTCTTAACACAAAAGGATAATGCATCTTTAAATTGAAACTGATGATTTTTCAGAAGCAAAGTGTCAGTGCTTGAATGCAGTTAATAACCTTTCTTTGGGGGAGTCACACATCACCCCAAATGGTTTCTTTAAAGAAAATACCAAAAGCATTTGTTCTGCTTTCTTTAAAGAATATACCAAAAACATTTGCTATTTCTTCTCTTTGTAGAGAATCAGGTCACCAACTAACCTGTATCTTCATTCATTTCACAGTCCACAAGGGTCTTAAAAGCAAAAACTGAGGCAATGGACATTTTTGAGGGATTTGGGGAAAGTCTGTGGAATTGCAGTTTGGGGTGTACGGAAGCAGAGTGGGAGGGGTTTGTTTTCTCATTTCACATTGCCCTTCCTTTGTGTACTGGTGCCATTCTTCACTCTGACACACAAAGGGACAACTGCAAGAGATACTATGATAGTAAACTGAATTGCCTTTGCTGCTGCTGGACCATGTTTTCTATAAAACCCACGCTCTCCTGCCTGTTGTGCCGCAGGAGTCTGAAGCTTATAGCTGGTGGCTACAGTAACCCTGATGTTTAAAGAGTTCTAAGGGCAAATGCTAAATAGACTCCTCAGTACCTTGTCTATTTGAAGCTTACATTTCTAAACCTCGTCAAGATGACAGGTATATCCAGCCAACCTCCACGGAGGGCATGACTAGCTGGATGTTTGCAATATAGCCACCAGCAGTGACAGGGTTAAAAATATGGGCATTTTAGTGGCCCTAAGGTGGCCTCTTCACTTACTGCCCTACTATGGTAACTTGGAGAAGTTTATACTTCTTTTACTACTATTTTTCTTGCCTGGCCAGCGCAGATATATACACAAGGGTTTCAGTTAAGTCTCCAAAAGTTTTGTAAACAGAAGGGCTAGAAACTGTTTGTTTTGGGTTTTTTTTCAAAATATAAATTAATGAAAGCTTCGATTTTGAATAATTCTGCAGAAATCCACAGAGTGACCCCAGATCTTTGGAAGCCATTGATTTTTCCTGCTGGCAAAGTACTATTGCCCCAAGTCGGGAAAGAGCCCACCAGACCTGAAAAACCAAGTATCCTAAAGCAGGAACTTCATTCTGATTTTCAGCTCTGTTTTTAAGCAATCAGTCACATCTGCTTCTTTGTTTCTTAGTTCAGCATGCAGCCTTTTACGGTACTATCCTACTAGCAACTGTTTTGCTTTGTCATGTGCTGTGCTTTACGGTGAACAGTAACACTATGGCTGAGTACAATCAATTCTTCCATCAGTCCTTGGTTACTGTGGTAACATTATTTATTTTTCTCTGTCTGTTGTTTGTGCTTCCAGTTTAGAGTTGCCATTGCACTTTTTTTTTTTTTTTTTTTAATAAAACATGTATTAAAAAACAAATCAGCAAGAGAAGCAGTGAGAGGTCTTATTTCCCTTAGGACTTGTACTCCCATTTGTTTCGTGCATAGACATTTGGCGTTTCATGTTTCAGCATCCTCAGAGCTGCAGTTCATTTTTTGCATTGCAGCTGTTCAGATCATACTGGGTGATAGTGGGAGGAGGAAGAGAAACATAAGATTCATGGAAAAGTACATCTGGTGCAACAAAAAATAGAAGTCCAAACTCACAAACCACAGCAATTGGCACCTGACACCATATTGGTGTTAACACAGCTTAAGCAGATTCCTTCTCTCTCCATGTAAAAGACTTGAGAGCATCTAATGCAAGTGACAAATGCAAATGCTGGACCCTTTAGGAAAAGTGCCAGATCACACCCCTGGTGCTATTTCTCATGTTCTGGCACAGTGTGTAGCACCGTAGGGTCTAAGCAGAACCAAAATTATCACAGCTTTTTGTCCACCCATGAATGATCACGACGACATCTTGCTGGCTTTGTGCAGATGTGCAATATTACAACTTAATTATTTCTCTTTGCCACAAAACATCTTCCATGCACTGACTCATTGAGAGCTTGCTAACAGGGCTCAGTGAAACGGCACTTTACTGGTGCTACAGCCTGACCATCAACCAGTGAAAGAGCCTCTTTCTTGCTTTAAGTCCCCTTTCCTACAGAGGTACCCTGTCCATGCTAGTGCTTTGTAATTTCTTTGGTATTACAGGCTGTTTTTAGATAAATATTCTGTGATGTAGTTGTGTTTGTAGCTAGCATGGTTTGATGCTCCGGTGTGGATAGGGTCCTAGGAACCACCCTGTGAAAGTCAAGGATAAGAAATCTCTCCGTTGCACTGAAATTTCAAATCCTCATCCTGGAGAGTCGTGTGGAACCTGAGCTAACAACCACTACGAGCCAGCGACAGTGTCCTAGTTATACAGTGTCCACCTGCATTAGTTTTCTGTGGAGAAATAACTGGTGTTACACCTTCACTGTTACTTGCTCATCAGCACTCGGTCAAGTTGTATTTTTATTTTGGTTTTATTTTATTTTTCAATTTTTTTTTTCCAAATTGTGTCCCTGATCAGAGGATTCAGTGAGTGACAACATGTGAGGATATTTGTAGGAAAATCAGTGTTAATGAAAAAAGTTTCACTTTTCTTTTTGAGCTGCAGATTTAAAGCCATAATATCTGCCATGTTCACAGAAAGTGGTCTTTTCTCCTTTTTAATCTTAACTTTTTTTCTCTTGAACATTTTGTCTGCCATGTTATGCATGCGGTTCATTGTGCAACTGCATTCATGTTCTCAAGCCCATGCCTTGGTGGAATAAGTGCATTTTCCTATTCCATTAAAAATCAGACATCTTGTCAATTAGTTCAGAAGTAAAAATGAGATCATTACGTTAAAAATAACCTTTGCATTCTAGGGCACAAATCAGCATCAAACCTAACAGCAAATAACTTATAAAATCTATCCAGCATATACAGCTAGCCTAGATCCTCAGCTGGTGTAAATCATGGTCACTCCATTGGTTTGAGTGCAGTCCATCACATTCACACCACATGAAGTTACAGATCTGTCCTCCCCATTCCACTGTTTTTTAAGATTATTGTAAAACACCCAGGCCACATGATTAAACAGCAGCTCAGCACTTTTCCATCATTATTTACTGCTTATATTAATGTAACGCTCAGAGGCCCAAGTCATAGACCAAGATCCTTTTTGAGGTTGGTGCTGTGAAATTCCTGAACAAAAAGACACCCCATGGGCCAAATGCTGTGGCAGGATTTTCAGAAGGCTTCAGCCCCATTCACATCTTACCGAGAGCAATAGGAACCACTACCCTGTTGGCCCTGCTAAGACTCTGCCTTTAAGGTGGGGAGTGTAAAATGCGATCCATCATCCCTCACACCATGTTAGCAGCTTACACCATCTGGCCCTGACCTACAGCACAGGCAACCTGCCCTGGTGTAAAACAGCATTTCTGGGGATGGGCAGTAGCCAGCATCCTAGACAAGATCTCGGGGTGGGGGTGGGGAAATTTTAAAACATTTTAAAAAAAATTTAAAAGGCAACACTGTTGGCTCTTAGTGGGATAGCAACCTTTTAATTTCTGGATTTGTGTTCCTAAATTTGAAGTGGCCAAGTGCAGCAGCCTGTACTCAGCAGGCTGCTCTATCCGGGACGCTGGCTGGCACGTGTCTCTTTAGCAGGATGTTTCTCAGTCCAGCTGTAGTGTGGGGTATTCAGAATCTGAACTGGAGTTTACAAAATACCCTGTCCAGCTTACACTCCTGTTATGTGTAAATACTCCGTGCATCCATTCCATTTGTGTAAAGAATAAAGCACACACAATTATAAAAATTAAGATGTATATTTCATACTAGCTGTGTCCTTGCTTATTTATTCTGGTCCAGGCTCTCATCTGTGGTTCAGTTGTAAATGCTTGATAGAGTGTTTATAAATATGTCATGAATTTTATTATAAAATATTAATATTAAAGCATTTTTACACTTTATAGCAAATGGCTTCTTCACAAGGCATAATTTGTCTTTTTTCCTTAAAGCGGAATAGTAAAAGAGAATGAATACACTCTTAATATGTCTTGAGGTACTGTCACATCTACCACACCAGACAGACACAAGTCTGGAAGTGGGATGCTGGTTTCAAAAATGACTGAGGATACAGAAACTTTTTTCTTTCTTGAACTATTTTTTTCTTTTTGACTTCACATTGACGTGGAAGTTGCCACCGAAAAGATTCACTCTGCTGAAGTGCTGCCACTTTCTCCTTACCAAACTTCTGCTGTGTATTAGGTATCATCAGCACCCTGATGAATGATTAACAGAATTTATTTTTTTTAAATTCAAGAATTGTTCCATGTTTCTGACATCACAGCATGGCCATTGGGATAAGAACTGTAATAACTACATGCTTGTGAGCAGCTTAGTCGAACATAAAATATGGGGTCCCAACAGCCCAAGAACCTTGGGTTTTGGCCATCCCAGGAATGTCTTTGCAGATGGCTTGTGGGCTCTAGGGAGGCCACGTGAACATTGTCAGTCTCTGGCAGAGGCAGAAACATAACAGAGACACTGGTTTCGAGACACAGACAGTGCTGGATTCAGTCTGCAGAGGGCCACAGAGCCTCCCTATGGCTCTGGGAGCCACAACTGACACTACAGGGAGAAAAACTGTCCACAGAGTTTTATGTGCACAATCAGAAGGATGGTTAACCATCTAATCATTCATTGTGATGCTTTAGACTTCTCCAACAGATTCAGAATAAGAGAGAATCCAAACAACAGGTCGCATTGA